AAATTTTTGTCGAAAGCTCTAAGGACTACTTACTCTTTGGGCCGTACATCAACAGATAGTAGTTATCTGTTGACAAGGTGCGTCAACCACAGCTGTCTTCGCACTAGACCTGTTGGACCGTATCTTTACTAGAACAAAATAAAGACGTCAACTTCAGTCTTACCCAGCTGGTAGCCGGTTGCTGTTAACTTCCAACAGATACAATTTTATGGACGTGTTTTATTACTTTAGGAACGTTTATTCGCCAAGAATCGTCTAAGTGAACATATTATATAATATTTGTTAGAATGAACATTTAATAAAATACTCTCTTTTACTTTGATTTATCCTTTGAAGTTTTTCAAAGAAATTTTTCATATTAAAATAATCTTAAAATGAGATATTTTCTGAGAAATTTCAATTTGAAAAAGATCTGAAATTGTATCTAGTTATTATCTGTGTGAGTTAAATCAATGTGTCTTTTAATATATTAAAAATTTCATAACTGGCGTTAAGATAAAATCATATAAAATTTACTTCTAACTCTAGTTTTAACTAATAAAACTATTTTATGGGTTGAATTATTAAAATATTTAAAATAGTAGGATGTTGTGAAAACTTATTTACATTTAGAGAGGACTGAATTATAGTTTCTCTTCAAGAAGTTTCATAAAAATTTCACTTCTGTATAAATAATATGGAAAAAACTATAAAGTTTTATTATTAATTTATGAATGGAAATCTTATTTTTTAAATATTTTATAACGCTTCAACTCTTGATTTAAGATTAAGCATTCATTAAATGAGAAAGATTAAAACAACTTCATTATGACTCGAAGGCATAAAGGTCAAAGAATCTAATAAATTAATTTTAAAAATAATATTTGTATAGAAATATTTGTCTTTCGCTCTCTCTAAACAATAAATAGATAATCCAAACAATAGATAAATTTTATAATCCGTCAACAGAATTTTTTTCACAATTTGAAGTGTTTGTTCACTACTTAAACCGGTTCCATTATTGATATTTAAGCTAAATAAATATAATAAAATTTATATTGGATACTTTCAAATAATTTAATATAGCAGAAATACTATAATGTTAGGAATATTTAAAATTCTTCCTCTTCATCCAATTGAATCTCTAAATTTCTTTTTCTCTAATTTATTTAAATATTATGAATACAATTTTTGTTTATAATCCTATGTTTAAAGTAATATCTACAATATTTCATATTTTTAACATTAATTTTTATAAAAATATATATTAAAAAATCTTTTCTGATTGTTGTCACTTATGGGCTTTTTTCCATAGCTATTATGAATTGGGCCAATCTCATAATGAGGGTGACTAAATGGTGAGAAACGGGACAGACAGCCCATAAAAATTTCTGGAATTCCTAAAGTGGCAGGCTGTTGTTTATATTAGAAAATGCTCATGACATTCATATTAATTATTTGAAAACTATAAGAGCATTATTCAATTTGATGTCATTTCTATAGTTTGTTCAGATTTTTTATTACAAAAACTTTTAAAATTACGTTAAATTGACTTAATAATGTACTCTATTCTAATAAAATGAATGATTCTTATACAGTTTTGTATTATATAAGTCAAAGTAGTGTGAACAAAATATAATAGCTGAACTATAGAGGTTCGGCCAAACTGGAGCCTAGTTCCAACAGGGGCCAGAACGTGTCAAGCAAAAAGCCTATGACCCATGATAAAAAATTATTTTGATCATGGGTAGTTTAACTTTTTCTCAGTCAAGGGCTAAAGGTTTTTTGGGGATGGTCCTTTGTGGTGAAGATGGGATTAGAGGGAGAGTGATCTTCATTAGAATTTCTAACCATAACCCGAAAGTTGCTCCCCCTCTGGAAAAATATATGACAAATTTGTAAAAAATTATAAAAAATTTTTTGCCATTAAAAAAAAATTAAACTTTATATCTATAATTATAAAAATTTAAATTGTTTTATAATTAAGAATGTAAATAATTATAAAAAAGAACCTTTTTTCTTCTAATAATTGAAATTATTAAGAAAATAAAAAAAAAGAGATGTAAATATAATTAATGATATTTATACTTATTTTATAAACTTTAAAAAATATTTTAAGATGAATTAGAAGTATCATTAATTAGCAATTTAAAATACGCTTTTTACTTTAAAAAGATACAAGATTTTTATTTATTTAAATTTTGTTTTTAACTTTAAAATCTGTTTAATTTACTTAGTAGCCAAATACAACATTCCGGGTTTTCGTGAATATCTTTAGAGAAATGTTTGCGTGAGAAACAACGAAAATTACATTCGAATGTTTTTCCTTCTTCTTCTTCTCCCTTCTAATTAAACTCGGAGGCAATTATGTTCATTAAATAGTAGTAAACTCCATGTACGCCCATTTGCGTGATCTGTCAAACTTCTGTTTTCCTACTCGTCCTCCTCCTCCTCCTCCTCCTCATCCGACCATTCTCTTCATCACGGAATTAAAGAAAACCGTGTGAATAAAATTAAAATAATAAATTTATAACTATTTTATTTTAATGATATTTCTTCAATTTTATACACTATATTAAAGCCTATCAATAACTGTTACTTGGTACGAAAATTTAATTGTATATAATATTATATAATTTTATAGGATATAAAAATATATGCTTCAATAATTTTTGTAAAAAGTATAAAATCTAAAATCAAAACGGAAGCTTTTATATATATGAAATAATATATTTTAGTATTGTTTTCTATATATAGAAAGCTTTCTTTATGATTACAAATGTAATTTTCAATCAATCGTCAAATTGTTTTTACAGAAAAGTTTTCAACACCAACAGTTATTCATTTTATTATACTTTTTTTAAACATATATAAATTTTAATCTTTTTATTTACTGGAGAATTTATAAAAATTTTATTCCAAACGTGAGTAATATAGAATAAATGTTTATTCAAATCCACAAGAGTGAAGATGAAGATGGCAAGATGGCCAAAGAAAAAAACAAATATATATATATANTGGACCCAGTTCGGACCCATGGCGGGTATCTTTACAACCGTAGACACACCGATCGGAAATAAAATCGTCTGTAATTCTTTCTCCATCTCATTGACGAGATTCAAAAATAATTAATCGAGGGGGAATCGCAGATTATACGAGTCATCGGTGTTATAACACGGTAATGTACATAGTGTATATGTATACATTTGTGTTCTTATTACATAAAATTGTGTGTGTGAAGAAACAGTAACCACAAAAAAAAATGAAACAAAGAGACGCAAAATACTCATTAATCAAGTTTGTCTTCAATTTTTTCCGACATTTGTATACTGTTGTAGTTGGAATTATAATTAGCACATTATTTAATTCCTTACATATGCCTGGGAAAATGTAGTTTTGTCCATTATATTAACATGAAAATTATATTTAAAAAAAAGATACTGTATGATGTGCAATACGGGCAGCGTAGTTCAAAATTAGATATAATGCCATTAGGATAATGGGTATTGCATAAGAATTGTACAAATTGATGGAACAATTTATATTTTCTATCATAATATTGTCATCGTGTAAATCCAGATGCATTTTCATGTTATGCTTGTTCGGTTCAAACGTTTGTAAAACGAATTTCTTTCAAACATTTTATCAATTTTGAATATTAACGACAGATGAGCCGCATCAAATGTAAATAGCTTTAAAAAAATCGAACGAATTCAAAATTGTACAATAATGGATTTCTCTTCAAATCATTATTTAGTATTCAGATTTACTAAGAAAAGTGAAACCGGAAATGATTTCGCAATAATTTTCGAACAAAATTTAATATTTTTAAAGATTTTATTATAAATATTTTCTTCTGTATAGCAAATAATAATGATAATAATAATAACAATAGTATATGAAGAGTATAGAGGAATGATGAAAGGAAGGTTGAGCAAAAGGTATTACAACAGGTTTAATTAGAGTTCGGTATGTTCTCAACTCTCTTGTCAGGCTTAGAATTGAGATGACGTTTTTATTTATACTTTTAAATTAATTTGTAAACATTAAATATTCGTTCTGTTTTTCTTTTTTTTTATTCTACCAGCATTAAATAGATTTTTATTTCTTACTTTGTTATATTTATATGATATCCTAGGTTTATATTAATAATATATTTAACTAACCATTGGCCGAATGGATAAAACCACTGGTAATTGATTAACGGTTTTTGCTAGTGAAGCGTTATAATTATATGGGGCCCAGGCATATTTTAATTAGTGGGCCCTACGTGTAGTGTTGACTTCAGACATTTTTCTTTGGAGGAATTTTTGGGGAAAATTTTTTCTTATAAATGATTGGATAGGGGTTACCTGTTAGCGAAGATTCCAGGAAATTGCCATTTTTGCCCATAGTATAACGAACCTCTGGTTTTTGCCTCAGCAATGGGTTGACTACGTGCTTTTCCGCGTTTTCTTCGTGTGTAACACATAAATAGGGTCCAATTTCCTATAGAAATCCTCCCGGGTGAACCCTCCTTAGCACTTTCTTATTCCATTAATTCTAATCCTAATATGTTTGAATTGTGTGGTATTAATTTCATTATTTATTAATAAAAAGAAATTAGATATTTTTTCGTTTAATTGTTAGATTAAGATTATTTATATTTTCATAAAAATAAATTACAGTAGTAAGTTGTAGTAATAATAAATTATTACTACAATTTAGATATTTATGAATATAATTAGATTTTTTTATCTTCAGTTTTATGTAGTTAGAGGCTACTTAAATATTATTGTTTATCACAATAAATATCTACGTTTTGTATATTAGTATACGATAAACAATGATTTATACTGAATTATATTAAAATTATGTATTATGTTAACAATGGATTTAAGATATTAATGAAAGTGTCGCATCTTGAAAGTGAGTTACACTTTTAAGGTGGGAGGCAAAGGGTATGTGAAAGTAATGTGTTTAAAAATAAGCATAGATAATATAATTTTACTAAAATTTATTCTCATTTTGTTTCTTTGCAGCAAGATATTCGGCTTAAAATCGCCGACCCAAAGACATATTGCAAGACATCGTCACTTGAAAACCCAGCCAACGGGGCTCCGGATTTGGAGTCAGCCTTTTGCAAAAATACTAACAAGCTGTTTGGCGTAAGCCCCAGTGATATCGATAAATACTCCAGAGTAGTGTTTCCTGTTTGTTTCGTCTGCTTTAATCTAATGTACTGGATCATTTACTTACACATTAGTGATGTCCTTACAGAGGACTTTGTATCACATGCCTGAAGCCAAACTTCGATCCAACTCTTTAGTCGTTATTTCAATCAGTTAGAACTGTACACAATGGTGTACTTTATCTCTCAATCTGTGGCTTCTCGTATTCCTTGTGCAACGTCCTTTAACACCCGTCTTTTCGTCGAACATCCATTTGTGGATTTACAATGCGTCTAGTGCCATCAGTCTCTTAGAATGTAGAGTTTCGGTTTACATCATTTCATATCCTTTTCCATTTATCCTCTATATTTTCTGCACGCGCTGCTTAACTAGAATGTAGTCACAGTTCCTGAAAAAAAACTACTCCAAAAAATGGTGTGGACCCAGTTCGGACCCATGGCGGGTATCTTTACAACCGTAGACACACCGATCGGAAATAAAATCGTCTGTAATTCTTTCTCCATCTCATTGACGAGATTCAAAAATAATTAATCGAGGGGGAATCGCAGATTATACGAGTCATCGGTGTTATAACACGGTAATGTACATAGTGTATATGTATACATTTGTGTTCTTATTACATAAAATTGTGTGTGTGAAGAAACAGTAACCACAAAAAAAAATGAAACAAAGAGACGCAAAATACTCATTAATCAAGTTTGTCTTCAATTTTTTCCGACATTTGTATACTGTTGTAGTTGGAATTATAATTAGCACATTATTTAATTCCTTACATATGCCTGGGAAAATGTAGTTTTGTCCATTATATTAACATGAAAATTATATTTAAAAAAAAGATACTGTATGATGTGCAATACGGGCAGCGTAGTTCAAAATTAGATATAATGCCATTAGGATAATGGGTATTGCATAAGAATTGTACAAATTGATGGAACAATTTATATTTTCTATCATAATATTGTCATCGTGTAAATCCAGATGCATTTTCATGTTATGCTTGTTCGGTTCAAACGTTTGTAAAACGAATTTCTTTCAAACATTTTATCAATTTTGAATATTAACGACAGATGAGCCGCATCAAATGTAAATAGCTTTAAAAAAATCGAACGAATTCAAAATTGTACAATAATGGATTTCTCTTCAAATCATTATTTAGTATTCAGATTTACTAAGAAAAGTGAAACCGGAAATGATTTCGCAATAATTTTCGAACAAAATTTAATATTTTTAAAGATTTTATTATAAATATTTTCTTCTGTATAGCAAATAATAATGATAATAATAATAACAATAGTATATGAAGAGTATAGAGGAATGATGAAAGGAAGGTTGAGCAAAAGGTATTACAACAGGTTTAATTAGAGTTCGGTATGTTCTCAACTCTCTTGTCAGGCTTAGAATTGAGATGACGTTTTTATTTATACTCTACGCGAAAAATATTTAGCTATGAACACTTTAATCAAAAATTTATTTTCGGCTTACTTCCATAGTAATTTTAGGAAACTTTCTGACTTAGTCTTCTCATTAACATAGCTCAATTCTAACGGAGGAACTGAACAAAAAAAGAACTTTGATGTTTGGGTTTAAGATATCAATAATTCCATTCTAAAAAAATTCGGTTGTATTTGTGTCTATATATTCTAAAGTCTTATCCAAATCTTTATCGGTGTCGTTGATTTCCTAAAACACTTCGTACATATTATTTACTTTAGTCTTCCATTTTAAATAGTTACATTAAGAATTAATCTTTATCGTGTAGTATGATTGATAGGTCTCGTTCTATTTACAATTCACAATTTACAATTTCACAAATATCAGTTTGTTAACATAAATACGAGAAGACTTATAAGTTCCTCTTTCCTGAACGTTATGCTTCACACAAGAAGCTTCACACTGCAAACACAGCTTCAAAACAAAACTAGAAGATTTTTGGTTAAAACGACTCCATAAATCTTCTAGAGAAAAGCAGCAAGACTATCTCGTCAATGCTTCCTTTTTTGTCTTCTTCAGCAACACTTAATGAAACACAGTACAAAGGAAGTTACGAGCAAATTTTATGTATATATACTCAAACACACTTGCATATATATAATATACACTATATCTATATACACACCTTATATTATCCACGATTCTATTGATTGCGTCATAGACAGATTCTTCCTCCTTTTTCCCATATTCTTAGTTAAGTAATCAAAACTAGAAACAGATAATTTCTCTCTGGACATATGGGGTTTGCGTGGTGGACAAATTGTCCCCCTCCCCAAAACACTTAGCCTCGTCCATTCACTTGCTCAAATAATCGATGTCTAGGGAGAATATAAATTGTTAAAATTTTAAAGTATTTCAATTAAATTGAATCTAATAGCTTTGTGCTCTTAGATCACACTTACGGTAGGGGGGCACCGGAACCTCGATTTCACTGAATCGTGACTTCTTGGCAACCGGTACAGCAATAACACAAACTCCTGCTTCACATAAATCTGTCACGAATGGAGAGAGAGAGAGAGAGAGAAAGAGAAAGAGAGAGAGAGAGAGAGAGAGAGAGAGAGAGAAAGAGAAAGAGAGAGAAAAGTGTGTGAAAGAGAGACAAAGAGAAAGGGAGTACTGAAAGTATAGTTTGGTGACACCCCCTTCCGCAGACTTTGTCTTGGGATGGAGATCATTAACATAACCTTAATGCATCGTTTTTATTACATACATAAATATACATTACATGCATATACTACTACATACTATAACAGTTCATTTTTTCTTTCGGTGCGTGACGTTTGCGTGAATCACACCCCGTTCGTGATGTGGCGTGACGTAGGTGTAGGCTCCGCTCACGTTGACTTTATAGAAATAGGGACGTTCCAGTTTATGTAAAGAATGGTGTCTCCTATTATAATTTCTCGTTTAAATTACACTTTTTCTCAATTTACACTTTTTCGTTCTCGTTATCGAATTAGAAAATTATACTTTAAATGTTTATATTTAATCGTCCAAAGGAGTATCTGTTTTTTTCCAAATTAGAAGATACTCGATATTAAAAAATGATATTATTAGTAAACAGGAAGGAATCATCAACGAAAGTCTTCCGTTTGCTGTTGATCTTTATGCTGTTTAGCATCTTCTACACTGAATAAAATTCCTGTCAGCTTGATAAATTGAAACAGAATCTTTGGTATTTCTGGTCCACCATTTATTTTTCTTCTTTGCACTAGGGGAATAAGGTAAGAAGTTCATTGCTGACGCACCGCAATGAATTCCGACCTTCTTCTCGAGATTGAAAGGGACTCTTAGTGCCATATAGATCAGTGAATATTTTATAAGGATGCAAATCGAATGAAGTGCGTAACTGGGTGCTCAATTTAAATATCAATAGAGATGGCTCTCTGGTCATCGTGATCAGGAAGTAATGGTGCAATGTGCCAGAGGGTACATGTCGTGAATGACGGATATTTCTACTTGTTAAATGTTGAATACCCGTTCAATTCTTGATTCATTATTCGTTATACAGTTCTATATATATTATAAAAAAAGTATATTATATAGTCTTGTATAGTTATTGTTATGTGAAAATAACCGAATAAATGTATAGGGATACCCATTTTTGTTGCATACAAAATAAATTTTAGAAACGGGAAATGGACTAATATACCATGTACGATTTGTGATTGAAAATGAAAATTTGTGTATATATTAAACGGAGAGAGAAAATCATTGTATGGAAATAGTATATTATTCTCCTATAGGGTAAGTTGTAGTATAGAAAGGACAGGTTTTTGTATCATTCAGCTTGATTGCTTCTAATAAAATACACCTTACCATATTTTGTCTTTGATATATGAATATCTTTATTTACAACATTTAGTTCTCTGTTTCTGTTATATTTATGAAATGATAATTAAATGATAATGGTAGTGAAAGAAAATTAATTATTTAATATATATATATATATGATAATTTTACAAATTACTTAAACAATTCGATTGACTGTTAATATTATTTATAAAGCAGATTAAATAAAGTTAAATCATTGTATATATATCTATGTACATTTGAAATATGCTGATATTTGTCATATATATAAGATACACAATATTTGTGTTTAGTTTCGTTTAATCCTTTCTGGAACAAGTAGAAGATTCTTACCTTTTACGTATGAAGAACGGATGATTTTTGAAGAATTAATTAATTTAAAAAAAGAAATTTGCTTTGTTAAATGCTTATATATTTAAATAAAGATATTATTATCAGTAATAATATATAATCTTACGTTTCGACACTGCACTACATAATTTCAAGTATAATAGTATAATGCTGCTACACTCAATTTCTTCTGAACGGAAATAAGTTTATTTATATCATTAATAATTGAATAAAATTACATTCGACGTATTTTTGAGTTAATAATTCATGTAAAGATGATGACGACTTTTTCAGGTAAATTTCTTATAATTAATGTAAAAATTTGAAAGTGTTTAAATATTGTAAAATCCAAAAGTTATGGAAATAAAACCAAAAAGTTTTACTTTTTTCCAGTTAAAATAAACAACTATTATTTTAACAAAAGGTTCTTTTTATTAAACTATATCGTAAATAAAGTTTCTATTATTATTCTCTTATAAAAATATTTGACTGTAATCATTATAACAAATTACACGTACAGATTTAAAAATACTATTTTATTAATAACTTTACTTATAACAATTTTTTATATTATTTATATTACACTAAAAACTTTGATATTTTTGGTTTTTCAAAAAACAAAAGAAAATTGTTTAACAATAAGGTACGTTTATTATAATTATTTCTAAATTAATTTTGATAATATATATATATTATTAAATTAACCTTTATATTATAAACCTAAAAATATTTATAATAAAGAAAATAAATGTTTAATTATTAATATAACCATTATTTAAATAGTTTTAAATGTAGATGAGGATCCTGCAAGCTTTTCTGTTGTGTTAAGCCTGATAACAATATAAAATCTTATAAGCTTAATTTTGCTGTTAAGTTATGAATGTATACTTTCTGCTCTTTATTCAATAAAAACGTCTATTTAAATGTAAATTATACATAATTTTTCAACATAAATAATGAATTTACTGTACTGTACATATTTATGTAATTTGCTAAGCGAAGTACAACACTTTGAAATCTATCTGAAATGCAATGTCTTCCTAAATGCAAAAACTTTCCATTTCTGTTATATAAAAAAAAAAAATTCAGAATTAATTATCGGGCCGTCAAGGATAAAATTTGTGGGAAAAAAGGCAAAGTTGGTTGATAACTTACAAATATAAGGAAGTATTTTATTTATCAAAGTATGCATCCATATTGTCTATATACTTTTGCCATTTAAGCGGCAGTTTGTTCAGGCTGGTGGTATAAAACTCTGGCGGACGAGAGTCAATGAATTCCTGGAAGGCCAGTTTTACAGCATTGTCGGAATTAAATTGTTTTCTTATTAAAAGTTGTCCAAATTGCGGAAGAAGTGGTAGTCAATGGGGGCTAGGTCTGGTGAGTATGGAGGATGATGATGAAGTTTCAACTCCAATTCCTGTAGTTTTGCCACAATCATTTATGCAGTGTGTGGTTTAGCGTTATCATACAATAAGATAGGAGTCTATCTATTGACCAATCTAGGATGTTTTTCTTTAAGGTTTTGCATCATTTCGTCTAGTTGGTTGCAATATATTTCTGCTGTGATCGATGAGCCAGTTTCATGAAATCATAATGGATCACACCTGCGCTAGATCACCAAACACTCACCATCAGCTTCTTTTGATGAATATTGCGCTTTGGAGTGTGTTTTGGTGATTCATCCTTGTCCAACCACTGAGCTGAACGTTTGCGACTGTCATATTAGATCCATTTCTCATCACAAGTGACAATTCGATTCAAAAATTGATCAGATTTGTGACGAGAAAGCAACAAACAAACTTTCAAACGCTTTTGTTTCTGTTTTTCATTCAGTTCATGCGGAACCCACTTATCCAACTTTTTCACTTTACCGATTTGAGCTAAATGAGTTAATATTGTTTGTTTTCTAACACCAAACGATAATTCATAGGCACTCTGAGATGGGTCAGACTCAACGGTTGGCAATATTATTACCTACAAATTTCATCCTTGACGACCTAATATATGCAACTCCTATTTAAAGATCAAAAATACATGAAATTTTGCTATGTATACTATAAGATCTAAGATGCTGAAAAATCAAAAACTCTTACTGATAATGTCTCTGATATTTTCATACCTAAATGTATTTCTTAGATTAAAAAGATAATCATTCTTATTTGCTCGATATACAAATAATTTTACAATATGCACAGTTTGTAGACTGTACTATGTAAAGACTACGACAAATATTCTATTATTAGTTTACACTAAAATGTAATTTCACTCGTAATTTATTTCCATGCCGTGTCAGCTATGGAATTTATTCAAAGTTTATTAAAGTTTATATTTTATGTTCAAAAAGCAGCTATTATTGGGTGATTAATTGTATTTATTCGTAAAATTGTCCTTATTTTTTCTATATTTCAATAGAAAAATCAATAAATGTTATTTTTTTCTGTTATAAAGTTTTAGTTTAATGTATTATCAAAAACTAGACTATTTTATTATTTAACAAATAAATATATTAAATTAATTATTTATTATGATTTTTATATTTTTATATTCAATCGTCACTTAATTTTAAAATATACATGCCGAATATTTTATAAAATAAATAATTACTATTAAAAATAAAGACGTAATTTCCTAATTTCTTTAGATTACAGATCAAAATCAAAATTAAAGTTTCAATTGTTTGATTTTTAAAATATTTCAAACACGTTGTAAATTCAAATAAAAAATATGCAAACAATAAATGTTTCAACAGAAAAAATCTCCTAAATTTTAACAATACACAAAAATATGGATGAGGGGAAATCTATGTTTCGTAAGAAAAAATAAATAAATAAAATTGGTTCTTTCGTATGGCGGAGATGAAATGCCAACTCTAACACTAAATCTTGTTATCGATCTTGTTTTCAAATCCGAAGTATTTTTAGATCACACACAAAATGCCAAAAGATGGCTTCTCTAAAAATATTATTGCACCACTTCTCTCGTAATTACTTCAATTAAACAACAACTCTTCTTGCCTTCTTTATAATTAAAGTTTGTTTAGAAATTTCGATTTTTTAGATCTTATCTGCTTTAATATTTACACAATTATTTTAAAATTAAATACTTCGCCAAGAAAATTATTCGTTTATTTTTTTATAAAAATAATTATATTTATTTATTAAGTTATAATTTAAAAAATGTTAAGTGCATCATTAAAACTTTTGATGAGGTTTATCCCCTGATGGTCTGATCAATCGATACGCATTCGAATATAAAATATTAAAATAATTAATTTGGAAGATATCAATTTACAGAATTTAAATTCATGATATCTATAAATTACAATTTCCTACTTTAAAATGATCAAGGTATAATTGTCTTCAATATGTCATAATGATGATAAATTCTGTTAAAGAGAACCCTTATGCGTAATATTTAGAACATAAGCACCATTATCATCAAATTATTCAATTAATAGATTTACTTGATTACCTAAACGATTGCTAGTTACATTTATACAGTATAAGAGTATATTATAAACAATAATTATGAATAAAACTGATTTTACTAATAAATAAATTTAATTAAATGCACTCTAATTTTTTTCTGGCTCCATTCTGATACTTTCTGGTTTGGCTACCATTATATAAAGTAGGTAGGTGAAAGAAGAACATTGTTAATAGGAATGATTTTACATAATGTAATAAAAAAAATCAAATGTTAAATCTTTTTTAAAGAAGAGATAAGAATTACAGCAGACATCGAGTTGGAAAAGTGGATGTAAATAACTGAAGCCGCGTAATGATTATCCAAAGTTGATGATTCTTTTTCAAGATGACTTAGTTAATGAAAGTAAAGCTATTTAAATAACCAGAACGACTAGGCGTTCTCTTAAGTTTGATTAATCTGAAGGAAGATAATCGATCGAACAACAAAACCTTAATCCCTTTCACTCCTCTTTCTAGCAAAGAGACGGAAATTAAAACTTCCTTTAAAGATAAGGGAGTGCATTTAAACAGAAAAGACTAAATATATGATGTTTTTACAATGGACAATGATAAAAATTCTTTAAATAGAAAAATAAATCTTTATTCTATCAAATGTTACAAGTTTAAAAGAAGTAATATTTACTTGTAATAACTTATAGATTATACTGTATTTATTTAACATTTCAATATTTTCTCAATTTTGTCTTTTAAACTTTCCAAAATTATAAATAAATATATTATTTTTAACAAAAAATTTTAAGATTCGAAAGCTGTATAATTAATTTTTATTTTTTAGAACTTGATTAGCATTTATATCAAAATTTATTAGAATATTATTCAAAAAGAGAAAAAATATTATAAGTATTTTTATTCATTATAATTTAAGTTAATAAACAATTTTTAATCATATTTTTAATTAATTTAATTNCTTTTAGTTCGTTGATATATTTATTTCTATTTTGTATTGTACTTGTTCTGCTTATGATTTTTTTATATTCCATACTGAATATGTTTTCCTTTATATATTGTGGAGTATTTGAATTGTAGTTTGACTTTCTGGATTTCTGTTGGTTTTTTATATGGTTTAAATTTTAGCATTTCTTTTCTTTGTTTTATTACTATAGCAAGGAAGTTTATTTCTGTGTTGGTTTTGTTTTCTATCTTAAATTTAATTTCATTATTTCAATTTTTCTTAGTGTGTCTTCTATTAGTTCCCAGAATATT